AGAGAGAGAGAGAGAGAGAGAGAGAAAGAGAGAGAGAGGAGGAGGAGGAGAAGGAGGAGGAGGAGGAGGGGGAAGGGAGAGAGGGAGGGAGGATAGTTTTAAAATATATAGTGGGCTTATTATCTAAGCACCAGTTTTCAAATCCTATAAGATGCCTCTGGAAAAACAAAGGAAATGGGTGGGTAAACAATGAATCAAAGAAATATATTTAAGAAAATCATACTGCTTACTGTTCTCTTTCTCATTAGCCATATTTTAAAGGGTTTTAAAAAATGTAAACAGGATAAGTCTTGATAAGTGATTCCTGATACAAATGTGTCTGTTGGGTTCATTTGTTTGCTTTTATATTTTTTAATTAATTACTAAGAAAAAAAAATCCTCAAATTGTCAGAGAGCAAATAAAGTTACCAGGAAGTAAAAATCCTTAAATACATTTTTGAAAGAATTAAATATATACCAATTGTAGCAATGGACATGCAAAATATAATGTGCATAATTGAGACTCAGTTTCTTTCTATAGATCAGAGTTGAAAAGTGGAGACAATAAGAAAGGAATAGAATGTCTTTTATGACAGCATGGCTATACTAGAAAATTAGAAAACCAAATATATCCTTACCTAGAAGTGCCACCAGGGTTAGCAGAATCACAATGTGCTTCATTCCTTTTCTTTTATGGAAATATAGGAGAATGCAGAAAATTAGTATTTCTAAAATCTAGAAATAGAAAAAAGATGAAAAAGAGTAAAGTATAAATTATTCTATACAAGGTACTCAGAATGCCACACTTCTCTTTTTGACTTTGCAGCTCTTCTCATATGACAGTTGAGGGTGACATGATTGGAATTCCTGAGGACATTTATAAATATTTGGGACTATTAACGAGCCTCAGCCATCCAGACCCAGCGCTCTAACATAACCTCTGACCTCCTTGCAACTCCAGTCTCATTTATCCCACGATCTACTAGACATCTCCACATGCACATTTAATAGCCGTATCACACGAGCACGTGGAAACACTTTCCTCTCGATTGCCTACCTTCCCTATCTGCTCTTCCTGGGCCTTCACCCCCCCAGCAAGTGACATCACCACACTCCTCCCTTCCCTCACTCCCTGCCACTCTTTCTGACTACTGCACTAGCTTCTCATTTGTCCCTGATTTTACTCTTGTCTCTCTCTCTCTACCATCCAGCCATTGAGCAGCCAGAGGAGTCATTTAAAACCACAATTTGGATAATGAAACATTTCCTTCACAGAGACTATATATGATATACATACAAGGTATTTACAGTGATCTGTCAAGTACTCAACCTGATAAAGAGAATCGACCAATAAATTTGAAGTCTGTTATGTGCCTCTCTCCAATTGTACCTCCCTCTCCTTCGACCTCCCCAGGAACCACGGTACTGAATTTTGGGTTTATCATTCACTTTCTTTATAGTTTATCACATTTCTATGTATCCTCCAAACAACACCCTATTTGTACATATTTTTGGACTTTATACAAATGGAATCATATTGCTTTCACTTGCTTTTTTTCACTGTGCATTATGTTTACGAGATTCATCCAGGATAAGCCATGTAGTAAAAATATAAATTAGGTCCAGTTGTTCTTAAATCTCCTATGGTTTCCTATCACATTAAGAATAAAATCCAAACTCTGTCCTGGATCACAAAGCCCCTGCCGACTTCTCTGACCTCATCTGGTGCAGCGTACTCCTGGCTCGTCTAACCTGCGCCAGCCACAATGGCCGCCCCACCCCCCACCCGTTCTTTGCAGTCCTCAGGTTGCTCCTGCTTTTGGGCCTTGGCACTGACAGTTTGTGCTCCCTGGAATGCCCCTTACCTAATCTTTGCACAATGGCTCCACCTACTTACTCAGCTCTCAGCTTAAACATTACCTCCTCTGAGAGGTCTTCCAGGACCACTCTGATCTAACAGACACCCAGTCATCCTCTCACGCCTGTAACATCAGTTGGCTACTGTAGAGCATTTTATCATCATCTGTCATACTTTTTGTTCATGTATTTAACGTGTTTCTTGTCTGTCTCCCTCACCAGCACATCAGTTTATGAGAACAGGGACCTTATCTTTCGTGTTCGCCACTCTGTCTCCAGGGCCTGGCACCCAGTTGGTCACTCAATAAAAATTTATGGAATTAATGAGTAAATTATACCTGAAGTTTATTATCAATAACTTTCAAAAAAACAGGCCTAATGTCTAATAAACTGAGTAGTCAATAAATATTGACTGAATGGCTAAAGTTTTCCTACCCTTGAAAAAACACTAGTATAATTTTGAGTCCTTGATTTTACTTTTGTTTTAACTTTTTTCTTTTTTGGGGTTCTTAAGATAACCTGAAGCAATGCTATTTCTTTTTTAAAAGAGACAGTATCCATGGACTGAAATCTTAAATATGAATGCTTACTTTTCTGACATCAGACAAGTAAAAATACCATCACTAGTTTTTTTCTTAAAAATTACTAGAGTTAGGGACTTTACTACTTTCAAAATTGCATTTTACTTGTGGAGCCCTTTCTAAGTCAACATAAATCTCTACTCTTTCCAAGGTTTTGCTTGTTCGTTTTTTCTCCTTTAATCCTCTGTGGGAACAGAAAGTAGCAGCACCTTATCTTCCTCATTTAAAATCCTTTTTACCTAATATGAAAGATTAACTCATCCCTTAGTCTTTTCTTTTCCTGGTAAATTAAACCAATTATTTTAATTTTCCTTATGAAACTTACTTACTTGATTCAATTTAATCAAGGTGTGCTACAAAAGCTATTAAATTCCTATCTCTTTGCCTTCCCAAAAGCTGCCATCAAAACACTGAGTGTCCAACCTCTGTACAATTTATCATGAACAGAAATAGCCCTCTTGGCGGGGTCTCCGCTCAGCCACCGGCTTCCACTTCTCATGTGATACAATCACCACTCGCAACAGCATTCAGAACCAAGTTTGCACTCCTGGGGAGAAGAAAGCTCTTCCTGCACTAACACACAAAATCTACTAACATGCTAATTATTAAATTTTTTTTGGGGGGGGGGGAGAATGAGAGTAGCTATCAATTCTAAAAATCCTCTATGACCTTTTTGTAAATTCCATCTTTGTAGCTTTAGATAAATAAAACATGAGCTCTATTATTCATAGAATGACTGTAGGTGCTGTCTGGGTTCTGTCTTGTGGCAAGAGGTCATGAAGCTCCCAGGAATAAAATACTCAAGCAGCATGAAGTAACGTTAATTTTTTTCTAGCAATATTTTCCCCCCTCTGTGAAAATATCAATATTAAAGAAGCTGTGATTTCTGCAGGTTGCTGCAACCCAGGCAGAGGCTGCTTTGCTGATTGCTATCTCAGAGGTCAGAAATAACAGCACTTACTGGGTGCTTACCACGTGTTTTACTTGTACTGGTTCACTGAGTCCTCACAACTTCAGGAGGTAGGTGTTATTATGATCCCCATTTTACAAATGGGGACACCAAGGCTCAGAGGAGTGAAGTGATGCAGCTCTGGTAGGCAGGATCACGGCTCCCCAAAGATGTGCATGTCTTAATCTCTGGAACTTTTATGTTATTTTACATGGCAAAAGGGCTTTGCAGATGTGATTAAGGCTATGGATCTTGACATGGGGAGATTATCCCGGATTATCCAAGTGGGCCCAATATAATCACAAGTCTTTCAAACCCGAGAACCTTTCCAACTGTGGCCACAGAGAAATGTAATGTGAGATAGACCTGAGTCAGGAAGGCTGGCGGCCTCTAGAGGCGGGAGAAGGCAAGGAGACAGATTCTCCTCTACAGGCATGAGCAACGAACACAGCCCTGCCAATAGCTTTATTTTAGGTATCGGACTTCTGACCTTCAAAATTGTAAGTTAATAAGTTTGTGTTGTTTTAAGCCACTAAGTTTGTGACAATTTGGTATGGAAGAAATAAAAAAATAATTTAGGTTTTGGTTACCTGAAGCCTTTCCAGAGGACCAGAAACTTTGGGATGAGTTTTCTGAATTCATTCTAGGTTTTCTGGATTGGTTCTCTAATATAATTAGATTTAAAGGCACTCTCACCCTGTTTTCAGTGGTAAAAGGAGCACTGTCAGTCCATGGAATAATGTGACAAAAGAGATATACACAATTTCACCACGGATGCCCCACTTCCAGTATCAAAATCTGAGCCCATGTTCACCTCATCTTCTTTCTTCAAGTTCTTTCTTGAAAGTATGGCCTTTGATATGCCTGCCTTGTCCACAAGAAATTATCTCTGCAAAGGTGCTCTCTAAGGTCAAGCCTGGACAAAGATCTGATCCTTGGTGGTCAGCTTTTATTAATTCTGCATAGAGAGGAGTGTCGTGAAATGAACTGGACTGCATACCCCAGAGGTGGACTGCCTGGTGTTGGATTCTGGCTCTGCCACTTAGTATTTAAGTGACCCTGGACAAATGATTGCACCTCCCTACCTCGGTTCCCCCATCTGCCAATGTAAGGGCTGTTGTGCAGGTAAAGGACAGAAAGGAGTCAGAGCTAGGCACTGGGCTCAGCCTGCTCAGGGAGTGTTGGCTGCTGCAGCTGCATAAGCGAGCCTAGGGCAGGCCTGCCAGGGCTATTTGCATTCAGACAACAAAGCAAATGAACCTCGTGCAATAGATATTGAGGTCTTATAAAAACACAGTTTTCTTCCTTCGGGTTTTTCACACCTGGTGGTGGGTTTTGAAGCAGCTTTGCCAGAAAAGCTGACTTAATAATTGGCTTTGGGGTATAGAATTACACCAAACGAAAGGCGCAGCCCCTACTTCTGCTGATTTAATTTTTTGTCTGGCAGAGAGAAAATGAGCACCATGCAGATTATTTTGTGAAGGATTCTATGTTCACAACAGAGGTTTCAATTTGAAATAATCTGTTGGAAAATCTGGGTGGGCAAAATGGCCACATTCAAGCCTGCCAAAGAACATCAAGTAATTGAGGCTTAGGGCTGCATTTCCTCATGCGGTTCTGCAGTTAATAGGTGTTAATCAACAAAAGGTCCTTCCAGAAAAGGGCCCCATGGTCACATAAGCCTGGGGCATGCAGATTTAACAAAATTAAGTCTGTCTCTTTCCTAAAGTACTCTAGTTTTTAACATGCTAACAGAGATGATGAATTTGTCAGTAGGGGCCATGTTACACAGCATCTCTCCAAGCTAGTTTGACCTCGAAAACCCACTCGGTTTGTTTGCTTGCTTTTGGGCAAGCACTAGGTGGGACTACCTCTCTATGAATACAGGTTAAGAAAGGCTGTTTTATTTAGTGTGTGAGCAAAGGACACTTCATTCTTTATTGGCCAGTAGATACCAGGCTTCTCAAATCCTTTTCCTGCCCGAGAGGACCAGCTCAGAGGACAGGCTCCTGGGCCTCTGTCTGAGGCTTCCACTTCATGTAAGCCTTCAAGGGGAAACGGACATCCACCTGGCACCGGTAAACGCTTGAGACAAGGAGATGCTATTAGCCAGACTGTAATACAATTTTACAATCCCCTTTTGAGAAATGTAAAACTTTTTCAGACTTTAAAATATTTTTATTCATTTTATTAATCAGTCCTGAAAGGCAATTTAGTTACTGCTTTTATACTCAGAGTAATACAGAAACAGTTTGATGAATGATACTTCAAAGAATAGACTTAATTACTGTAATTATGATCTTTGTAGTCATGGTTTGCAGAAAAAGCACAGAATCTGCCACATCGAAGGATTAAATATTAATTACTTAGATGTTTAACAGATTTAAACCAAACTTCAGCTGAAGATCTTAGTATGTAATTGATAACTTCTAGAGTCTTTAGAGATGCAACATATAACACATTAAATTCCAAGCTAAGATAATATAGATCCATTCCCTTTAGAGTCTAATGCCAATAGTGTTATTCAAATGTGACTTTATTAAAAGTTTATTTTATGCTATCTTATAAATATCTGGAATTATTTACATTTCTTGGTGACATTTACTTTCAAATACGCTTTCATTATTTTATAGCAATATGGGTGTCTCGCAGGACTGTAAAATTCCTGCTACAGGAATTCCTCTCACTACCCAGGATGACTAATATGTTGAATGAATTAGTGAATAAATGAATGAATGAATTTAAGAGTTGACTTTTGAAAATGGCAAAATACAATGAATTTCAGAGCTTTTTTGGTGGAAATATAAGGTTTAATAAAAAATAGTTGTATTCTTTTAAAATGTTTCTCTAGTGTTAAAACAATATAAGACACATCATCATCGAACAATGCTGTTTATTCCAAAAAAAATAAGTCCTGATGCATCTTTAATCTCCAAAGGTTTCAACTTAGGCTATTAATTTTCTGGTCATAAACTATGTGATGCTTTTTTTACTGGATGAAGAATTTGTTTTGCCTGTAGGCAAAGAATAACAATGTGTTGGTAGGACTTCAAGTTTAGACTATCATGAAATATTCAACAAGTCCTTCTAGTTCTTAGATTTGATTGATGAAAGCTGTGATAGTTAAAGGACTGGGTATGTTGGACAAGTAGGAGGACACATGGGCAGGCAGGAGACACAAAATACGACAGATGTGAGGAAGGCTAATCAGAATTGGGAAGCCCAGTCCTAAAGGTTGATGGGGGGCAGGGGTAAGGGGAGCCCTAAGAGAGAAGGGAGTTTAGGGGAGAACATATTAAGTTCAGTATTTTGAGATGTTACATTCAAAGAACCTATGAGGCACCCAGGCAGGGATGAGTAATAAGTGGACAGATGAAAACACAGATCTGCAGCTCAGAAGAGGACTGGGAAGGAAATGCAGTTCTGGATTTGGAAGTCTTTCTAAAGATGATGGTGGGGTGGGCACTGAGATCACATGAGCCTCATGAACAGGTAAGAGTGGTTGGCAGAAGAGGAGGAGGTGACCATCAAGAACCTGGGATAGAATAGTCAGCAAGGAAGAGGAGCAACAAGGAAAACAGACTGAGGAAGCCAGAGAAAGGAGAGTTCCAGGAGATGATGATGGGCCACAAGTAAATGCTACACAAGGTTCAAGAAGAATAAGGACCAGAAAAAAAAAAGGCAATTCCATTTGGCAGTTTGTGCGGAGGGATCTACTAGATTATAATGAATAAGGAATGAAGAGGAGCTGAGCAAGTGGAAGGGAATAAAATTTTTGGGGGTGAGTGGAAGGTAAATAGGATAGTTTATTAAAGATTTCTCTAATGAGAAATCTAAGTATCTTTGTTGAATAAGAGAAAGGAGTACACTGGGAGATACAAAAAGAAAAGGCCTGTAAACATTTGTTCCAGTGGTCAGAATTATATATCAGAGATGATAGGATACATAGAATTCTTGTCACATAGACTAGGAACTGCCAGACAATAATATACCATGCAGTTTCTGTAATATCCGAGTTACACTTGGAGCAATGTTCACCAGTAACTATGTCCCTGCAAATGCCAGTGTTACATTTTTAAACAATAGGTGTAAAAGTAGGATAATACTATTTTACCTGTTTTAATGTGGCAAAGGACTAGAGCAGATGATAAGTTTTTTGAGGTGACGTCTAATCCTAAATATATATGACTTTGTGTGCTTTTTACTGAATTCACAACTATTTTACCAATCTAGTTCTTGGCTGAATGCTCATCTAGACTATCCCAGTTTTCTTCTTACTACCTGCCATCCTAGAATATTCCTATTCTGCATCTAAACAGACTTCTGTAACAAGTTACATACCAACCATTTAATCATGTTCTCTCTTTATATCCACTGGACACAGCCAATGCTTCAAATAAAATATCCCAATCAGTGCTTCCAATTTCTATATTAGCCTATTCCATTCTTTCTTTCACACACTGCTGTCTGCTTTTCCACAGACAATCTGTTGCATTGGTCTCAATGAGTACTTTTTTGAAGAGGATATCTATCTTGAATAAAATTCAATGAAGTAAACTATGTCTGTAGGTATTTCCTTTTGCCCTGGAAAGAGGGTGTTTTGTTTTTTTGAGTTGTCCTAAAACATGTTGCTCTAAAATTTGCCAGATTAAATGTTGTAGAAATTGTTCTAGTGATGGGTCACCCCCAAGGCGAGGCTACTAGGAACCTGGGGGTGCTTCATTGTTGACTTAGTGTTTCAAATACTTTGGTACTAGTCAAATATATTTACATTTTAATGAGATATTAACGCTGAGAAGAAAAGATATTAGTTCTCTAACATGTGCATGTACCAGTGGTCTAGATAACATAGTTTCTGCAATAGTAAAATTTTTACAATTCTTACCACATAGATCAGGAACTGCCAACCAACAAAGTAATACTGTATTGTTCTTGCGGAGATAGCCTGAGTTATATTTGGAGCAAAATTCACCAACAAGTATGTTCCTGCAAACGCCAATGTCATACCTTTAAATAAAATTGAAAAGACAAACTGATTTGAAAAGAGGCATTGACATCTTTTTGTAGATGCAAACATTACCTACAGACTGAGCATTACTTGTAAAAGTGCTGACATCCCTCCCTTCAAACCATCATCAAACCATCCATAGATATCATCATGAATTTACCTGTAGGAATTATGTTTAAAGGGGCTTATGAGCCAGGGAATGGATGGGGCAGGACATAACGTCCAATTTTTCTCTGTTGTTCCAGCTGAATCCTGGCCTCTCCAGAGCTTTCCCCAAAGATGGGGAAGATCAGAGCATGTGTATAAGAAGACATGAAGACATAACCAGCTGGCTGTTTGTTGGCATGTGGGCCAGTAAGTGCACTGGATCTAGATCTAGATGGCAGAGCCCAGAGTGGGCATGTCCATCGCCTGACAGTCCACCCTGCACTTACTCATCCTTGGAGCCTTTACACGCATGTGGGTGATTTTACCCTCTGAAACTCTGGTAAATGAGCACCTTAATCATTGCCATTTATTGGAGTTCCATTAGCAGAAATAAAGAAGGTGAACGCTGACTTTGGTGTAAGATTTATTTAATCCAATTTAGAATCTAGAATTCTAGATATGACTTAGTAAAATCCCACATAATAAACCTATAAGAAGTGTGTTATTGTCATCACTTAAAATGATGGTGGGAGGGAATGTGTGTGGGAGGAGTGGCCACCGAAAGAGGGGTAAAGGAAGGACTTACCCTTCCAAATAACACTGAAAACTGCATATTTATTAATAATGAACAGACTGAGAAAAAGTGACATGTGTAGCATTTTTCAAATAATACCCTTGAAAACATAATTCAGCTTGTTTCACACTGAGGTCAGGATTGTTATATGTATAATTTACAACCAGCATTGACTCCAATCTGAAACAATTTGGTTTGTCTATAAAATCTCACAATTTGAAGACACCAATTTCCTATTCCTCTTAACCAAATGATTTAGGAGTTTGAACTCTGGTTTCTGAGAACAAAGAGCATTTGATTTTTCACACAAGCTAGACAATAGCTATTCAGGGTATTGTAGAAGCTATAAAATAAACTTCCTCTAATGCAACAATTCATTCTGTAATGCTTTGTGAAGACAAATTATATGTACAATTTTAAAAGATATTGCTAATGAGAATTTTTAAAATGAAACACAATATACATTATTAAGCATTGTAATAAAAGGAAAATAATAAAAACCATATATAAGAACTTGGACAAAATTATTGGTCAACCTTGTCCTTTCTTTTGGAAAAAAAGATCTTATAATTGTTCAATATTAGGTTCCTAGGAAGAAGAGATTTTTTTTTTTTAAGATTTTTATTGGGGAATTGGGGGATGGGAACAGCACTGGGGAATTAGGGGAAGGGGAACAGACAAGTTGCTGTCCTTTTGTTCTTCAGTCTAGTTGTAGAGGATGTCGCCTCACTGGCCCAAGTTGGCACCATCATTGCACTCTTACCAGGCAAGGCAGATAGGTCATCGGCTTCTGGACGGCCGCTCACGCTGGCTGCCAGCTACACATGGTAGCCCATGGCAACCCACTGCAGCAGGGGCTGCAGCCTATGCCATTGCGGTCACCGGCGATTCACGGCAGCCCAGCTCCAGGTTGAGCTGTTGTTCAGGATCTTAGCTGTAGAGGGCAGTGTCACTGGCCCTCATATGTGGGATCTGAACCGGGGCCCTCTGGCGTCCCAAGCCAGCTCTTAACCACCGCGCTACTCGGCTGGCCCGGAAGAAGAGATTTTTAAAAAAGTTTTTAAAACTTGATATAGTATAGCAGAAAAAAATGCATTGAAAACAATTTAGAAGTCTCAGAGACTTCCAACTTTCTTGTTTATATTGAGTTCCTCTGCAAGTGATTTATCTAACTGTATCTAGTGTCAATTATATTTCTTTTTTGAAATTTAGCTTTGAATGGGTAACACATGTATATGGTAAAAAATTTAAAAGAGTGATCAGTGAAAAGTTAAATCTCTCTCGTATCCTTACTGCCTATTAATTTCTCTCCTCAAAGTTAACTACTGACACTAGTTCTTGAGATTTTCTTTCAAAGACATTTTATGCATGTGTGTGTGAGTTTGGTTTTTTATACAAACGATATTTACACACTTTTTTGTATCTTGTTTTATGTCTACTTAACAGAACATCTTGGAGACCATTTTTCATCAGTATACGCAGGGCGGCCTCATTCTTTTTAAGCCTGCAAAGGATTCCATTATATGGAAGTAGTGTTATTTATTTAACTTTCCAGTATGGTCCCTGTTTCATATCCTGACACATCCCTCCCAGTTTCACATCTGCTTCCACATTTGCATACCTGTGCCCATCTCTACCAATATAGATCTTTACTGCATTTCAAAACTCCTTTAAAAACAAATAAAATGACTGATGATTTTGCAAATATACTTTCAAAGTTCTTTTTCACATGTATTATTTGATCTGAGCGTCACATCACTGTGAATGTAGTAAGTAACTCTATGGCAGCTCAGTAGGTCATACATTCTTCTAAATAGGTTTAATTTCAGCTTCCTCTGACAATGACAAAGGCCGTCTGGATAGCTGCTACCTGTTATATGCTTGTTTATTTGGTGTCCTATTTTTTCTATATGACTACCTTCATGAATCATGTGCACGTTTTCTGTAAGTGTTTAGAAGTGTTGAAGGTAGTCATTACCAGTTCCTTCAATAAATTTCCTTAAAATTTATTTATATGCTACTTTTTTCTAAAAGTGTCATGAGATGTCAGTTCTTGCTATTTTTATTTCAGTAAAGCCATGAATATTCCTTCTTTAGAAAGACACAGATTTCTGACTTAGAAAACTTGCTGGTTCACCTTCTGCTGGTCCATTTGCCCAAAGGAGTAGTCTGGAAGCGTAAGATTCTGAAGACAGGGAAGCAGTACTTGACATGCTCTTTGCCCATGGAAATGATTAAATTTCAGGTCAACAATTAGATCGTGAAGTCAATCTAAGCTGAAACTGCTCCCATGGAATTCAAATTTCACTGCTACTTGCTAGCTGGAAGCTATTTATCCTTCTGTGACTCAGTCTCTAGTTACAAATTAACTTGTCATACCTGCTGTATTCCAGGAATTTGGCTCTGAAAGAGGCCAGTATGGGCAGTACTATCCACATTGGACATATGAGGAAATTGAGTCACAGGGGGAATAACTAGCTTGTCTGGGATTTTCTACCTAAGTGGAGAGCTTGGATTGGAACCTAGGGAGCCTATTTTCTTAACGATTACACTCTCTCACCTCTTGTATGTATACAGGAGCAGGGCTGCCAAATGGAAAACTCAGGGCGGTCATTCACATTGAATCTTAGCAAGTGGTGCCCCAGGAGTTGTCCAGAGCATAACCTGAGGGCAGATACAGCATCCCCACAGGGCACAGAAGGAATTGACTCCTCCTGGCAGTGACCCTTGACTGGCCCTGAGGTTCCTTTAGAAGAGCGTCTCCAAACTGGTGCTCCTTGGAACCAGTTTTATAAGATGGGTGCTCCACCAAAAAAGGTCTCAAGTGAAATCTATTTGGGAGTTAAACAAACTTAAATAGTTCTTCTACTGGAAGACCCCTCAGATCCTCAATGTGTTAGTATTCGTTGTGGCTCTCCTAGAGGAGGACGTGGTTGTAATATTTCTAAACATATTTGACCATTTATATCACCCTGAAGTAGTGTTTTGAGGAATCTTTTATACTTTGGGAAATGTCTGACATGTAACTGGCTCCAGCTGTGAGACTGCAGCCTCTGTTTCAGGAGGCTATGGCCGGTCTGTTGTAAAAATCTCCTGTACATCCTTGTGACTGAGAATGAAGTATAAAAATGATTGAAGAGAGCCTAGAATCAGGCTCCTTCTGATGCTTCTGTTCACTGGCACTGCTAACCTGTTGAGTTCCTCATCTATACAAGCCTTATTCTAAGATCTACTTGCAGAATTCTTTCTCAACTGACATCTGGTCTCCCAGCCCACCCGTCCCCTTAAGTAAAACACGAGATCTCTTTTAATTTTGTCCCCAATGCCCAGTTGAATGCCAGCTAATGTTAACTGTCTATTGTCTAGCTTCTGGAATCTGGCTTGACCTGACTTCTGGTAGCTTTAAGAGTTTTTTAATATTCAGCTAACCTGACTCCAACCAAGATTGATTTCTGATTCTCTTTGTCCTTGCAATATGTCTCCTGATCAACGGGGGTCCAGCTATTACTTTTGTGGGATACCAGGAATCCACAGAATAAACTGGACTCTTTAACACCAAACCATTTGGAGTGTTGTCCCCTTAGTACAACCTCTTCAGATTCCTCAGACTTATAGCAGCTAAATTCTGATGGAACCCTGGATTGGGAAGTCTCGATAATATACTGACTACAAATAGTCTTGAAACTATCATCAAAAAGTCTGCCATTTTTGAGGCAGTTTTGAAATCAAAATAGCCAATCTGTCCTCTCAATCAGAAATGATGGTTTGTTTGGCTGGATCAGTGTTCTAGATACTGGCCCCCAAGCAAGCTGACCTCTGGTGTGGGAGAAGGAGAGAAGGACATGTTCTTCATCTCACTATTAATCTCTGGACATTCTATCTGGGGGAACCATTTATAGGTGACTTGAAGTAATTAAGTTACTAGTCTCTGGGGAGTGCTGATGAATTGACTGCAATTTTTTATTTTTTGTGATAATACTATCTGGACTTAAATCAAGTAGTATCTCACAGACTATTAAGAGTCAGTATTTTTGATGACTAAGGGAGAAAAGAGGAGAAAATACTGTCGTTTTTGGCTGATTGAAGGAGAGAGAAATCTTTTTGTAAAGGACAAAAATCATTAAAATAATTTAAAGTTATTAATCCACTAAGAATCAGAGCACAGTCCAAATCCTGTCATTGCGTTAATAATAGTTGGCGATTCATTTCAGACATAGCTTTTGTGAGGTCATTTTTTGAGGCTAGTGGTGAAAAGCTTCAGAGCCACAGAGCAACATTTGGCAATAAATTAGTTCAGCCTGTTCCCACATGGTCCAAAAATCTTCATTTGTTCCATCCTGAAAAACAAACTTTCATTTGCTTGAAGCAGCAGGGAAAAATAAATGATTTTCTTTTGCACATTTTGACAATTTAATTTTTAGCATGCTTATATGTTAATCTTTTTAAAGAAAAACTCCACTAACTGTTCTTTTCCCTGCTTGGTTTTAGTCTCTGTAAAGAAAAAAAAGAAGGACTTTTTAGTTTTTTAAAAGAAAGAGTCAAATTTTCTCAAAGCAACAGCAATACAGAAGAAAATACATGTGACTTAACACACTACTGAGTGAGGCTGGGTGAAAAAAATCTCTCCCTAAGTATGAAGTGAGTTGTTACGCCTCAGATCATGATAATCTTATGAAAGTGCTGTTGGAGGCATGGGTATGGAATAGGTGACTAAATCCTTATTCTTAATGACACTAGATTAAAGTCAAGAATTGACCACTTTTTACTATAGAAAAAAACAAATGTGACATCACTTATATAGCCCTACTCAAAAAGCATCAAATTAGGAAGGACAAAAAACCCAAACCAGAGCTGTGGGAAATGTTGCCTGGATTACTGAAGTTAACAAAAATATCCTAATAAAGGTTTCCTCTGATGAACCAGTAGAGTGCAGTGGTGGGTGATGGTGGTAGTAGTAGTAATGATAATAATATATAACATTACTGAGCATGTTTTTAAATGTAATCGGCACTTTTTTAAGAGTTTTACAAAAATGAACTCATTTAATCTTAGGAGGTAGGTAATATCATTTTAAAAATGAGGAAATTGAGGCTTAAAGAGATTAAGTAACTTTGCAAAGGTCAACAGCTCTCTGACACGAGAGACTCACCCTCAACTGTTACATTATTGTTCTGTCAGGCTGCCACTATTGGACTACTGGTCCACCGCTTATTAGTTATAGGATGTTGGGCAAGTTATTTAACCTCTCTATGTGTCAGTTCTGTAAATGGGTTGTTCCTATTTAAACGAGATAGTTCATGTAAAATATAGTACTTGGAAAGAGTAAATATTTAATAAAGGTTAACTGTTATTAATATAAGAGAAATTAGCGAAGAATCAAAGAATTAATAGATGTTTTATTTATTTGTCTTGTATGTGTGTGTGTGTATGCATGTGTATATGTGTGTGTGTTTACTACTCCTTATATCACATTTTTAGTATTACCTCTTGGGAATGAAGTTGGTCATAAAAATGATGACAATCATATTAACAGGGCTTTACATTTGTCAAAATACTTATGTGAATTACCCAATTTGATCCTTAAGACAATGTCCTATATTTGTCAGCAAACTGAGGCTCTGAGAAGCTAAATAATATTATTTTGGCTATACAGTTGACAGAAGTTGAATCCAGGTTTGAACCCATGAGAGTGAGTTTAATTTACATCCTTTGATGTTGAGCCATTTACTTGCTTTTAGTAATGTTTAGTTGATCTAAGTATATAGTCAAATCATCTGTACATACTGATATTTCTATTTCTTCCTTTTCCACAGTTAGGACTTTCATCTATTTTTTTCCTAAACCTTACTGGCAGCAGTGGTAATACAGTATTAAATAGATATTATCGTCCGTACCTTTTTGCACCTTTGTTAACACTTCTTGTGTTCTTCCCTCGGTATGCCCTCCTCGAAATGCTTCGATGTGGCCCATGCCTGTCCTATCCAGCCATCAGAGCTGATTAAAATGTTACCTCTGCTGTAAAAATTTCTCTCTTAGCTTCCCAGCTAGAGTAATCTCTAGTCTAAACCAGTGGTTCTCAACTGGGGGAGATTTTACCCCTCTACTTCTCCTCCCCCGGAGAACATTTGGGAACAATAATGAAGTCATTTTTGGGTGTCATAACTGGGGCAGAGGGTGCTACTGGCATCTAATCTGTAAAGGCCAGAACATATGCTGCTAAAAACCCTACAAGGCACAGGACAGCCCCTTACAATGGAGAACTATCCAGCCATGTCAGTAGTGCTGAGGTTGAGAAACCCTGTTCTGAACTAAAGGCTGAAAGCATTATGATACATATTATTTTCTGCTTTTAAAAAAACTTTTTTATGTATATACTTTATCATCAAATGTATTATTTGAGGACAGGAATTTTGTCTTAATTATCTTTTTATCACTAATGTTCATGATAATTAGCAAGTCTTACTTTATATCCATCTGTATTACTTCATTAAATACCTTAGATTAATTTAAACATTAATCAACCATTAACTACAAATGATGACATATTTTAGATAAAGCAATTTAAAGTTCCTGAAGACATTTGATAAATGAGAAAAATAATGTAGGACATAATTTTTTTAATTTATAAAACTCAGGTATTGCTCATTCTTATTTCTGATTCCATACAACTTCCCCAAATGATTCCACAACCATAATATATAAAAACCAGAATATACAAAAATAATATATTTGAAAAGATACAGTTCACATATGAATGCATTTGGAAAAACATTTTAACCATGAAAAATTTGACAATGTTGACTAAAAACTCTACTAGCAGAACCAAACTAAGGAGGAAAAAGAAAAAGTGAAAACACTTTCAAGACACTAAGTTCAAGGGAAATATGATCAAAGAAAACAAATGCTCAGCATAGCAACACTGGTGTCACATTTAAAGCTCAAATTTTAAAAATAAATGATTTCCTTGGAAGTGAGTAGGCATTGTTTTATTTAAAGTGCCTACAGTATCATATCCATTATGATATGTCAGCAGCAATTCAGACAGGATTTTGTCAAGGAAGAAAATATGAATCTTTATAATTCTTCTCACTAATGATATTCCCAGTAAGAAGTAGAAGATATAATTAATATATGAAGGTTTTGCTATATAACTAACCTTTCCTACAGCCAGGAAAGCTACTGTTAATTTCCATTAATAACTATATGTTTAAATAAAATTATGAAGAGCAAAGTTCTATGTTTCTTTTGGAGAGAGCTAAATACAAATTAAGTAGTTAACTGGTACATCTAATTTTTGTGTGTGGTTTTCATTTTTATGTAGTATTTTCATGCAACAATTTATTTATTTTTATTTATTTTTTTAGCTGAGCCATCCTGCGACCTGTTGGTAGCTCAGCGGCAGCTCAGCTCGGGTCGTGAATCAAACCAGTGACCCTGTTGCTCAGAGCTCACACAGACTCTTGAGTGAGCTCTTAACCAACTGAGCCACTCGGCTGGCCTTTCATGCAACAATTTAAAAAATATATCCTTTGAAGTGAAATACTCTATTAGGTAACAGATTTTTGGGGGGATTTTATTATGTTCATAAAAATTTCAGAAACTTCATAACAATGTAAAAGAATAATTTGCTGTGGTTAATAGTATGGGCAGTGGTCACAATGAAAATTGAAGTATTTCCAATAGAAGAGCAGATGGCAACTCCAAGACATAATAGCATTCACCTCTAAATGAGATTATATCTACTTGAGTAATTTGTTCCCAGTTTTTAAAGCACATCTTTTTTATGGATAGTATGATTATTTCCTGATCAAGCTGTGCCATAATTACATGAATTAAAGAATTACTTACCTAGTAAGTCGGAGGCCCTCAAATTTTCTTTCAAAAACATAATAGAAATAATGGCACTACCTAGAAAGAAAATGGCCATTAGCGGAGTTTCCAATATAAAAACATATATTATGCAATGCCATTTGAAAGGAGTTAAGCCGTTTGTGTCTTAGGCTGACCAGCTGTGTCCTGGTCAGAGACACCCAGCAGCTGTGGCTGTAAAAATTACTTCTTTGCTGTGAAAAAACTTTTTAGTTTGATGTAATCCCGTATGTTTATTTTTTCTCTTACTTCCTTTGCCCGTGGGGATATATCAGTCAAAATATTACTGAGGTTAATGTCTGCAAATTTACTCCCTATATTTTCTTCTAGGAGTTTCATGGTTTCAGGTCTTACATTCAAGTCTTTAATCCATTTTGAATTTATTCTTGTATATGGCGTAAGGAGGTGGCCCAATTTCATTTTTTTTGCATGAGTCTGTCCAGATTTCCCAGCACCATTTATTGAATAGACTGTCTTTACCCCAGTGCAAATTCTTGCTTCCTTGTCATAGAGTAAATGACCATATAGGTATGGATTTATTTCTGTGCTCTCTATTCTGTTCCATTGATCTATGTGTCTGTTTTTATGCCAGTACCATGCTGCTTGATTACTGTAGCCTTGTAGTATGATTTGATGTGAGGTAGTGTGATACCTCCCACTTTGTTCTTATTTCTCAAGATTGCCATGGCTATTTGGGGTCTTTAATGGTTCCATATAAATTTTAGGATTATATGTTCTATTTCTGTGAAAAATGTCATTGGTAGTTTGATAGGAATTATGTTGAACCTATATATTGCCTTAGGCAGTATGGACATTCAATAAAACAAAAAGGCATCCTACTGAATGGGAGAAGATATTTGTCAACAATACATCTGAGAAGGGGTTAATATCCAAAATTTATTAAAAAAACTCATTCAACTCAACACCAAAAAACCAAACAACCCAATTAAAAAATGGGCAGAGGACATGAAGAGACATTTTTCTAAAGAGGACATACAGGTGGCCAACAGACATATGAAAAGATGCTCAACCTCACTAATCATTAGAGAAATGCAAATAAAAACCACAGTGAGATACCACCTCACTCCGGTCAGAATGGCTATCATCAATAAATCAACAAACAACAAGTGCTGGCGAGGTTGTGGAGAAAAGGGAACCCTCGTGCACTGTTGGTGGGGCTGCAGACTGGTGCAGCCACTATGGAAATCAGTATGGAGGTACATAAAAAAACTGGAAATGGAACTACCTTATGACCCAGCATTCCACTCTTCGGTATCTATCCAGAGAAATCCAAAATGCTAAGTTGAAAAAATATATGCACCCCTATGTTTATTGCAGCGCTATTCATAATGGCCAAGACATGGAAACAACCGAAATGCCCATCGGTAGACGACTAGATTAAGAAACTGTGGTACATTTATACAATGGAGTATTACTCAGCTATAAAGAAGAAGGAAATCTTACCATTTGGATGGACCTAGAGAACATTATGCTAAGTAAAGTAAGTCAGACAGAGAAAGACAAATATATGATCTCACTTATATGTGGCATCTAAAGAATAGAATAAATAAGCAAACTAATCAGAAACAGTCTCAGAGATATAGAGAAAAAACTGAGGGTTGCTAGATGGGATGGGGGTGGGGATGAGGAAGAAGGTGAGATTAGAAAGCACAAATTGGTAACCACAAGATTGCAACAAGGATACGAAAGACAGTTTGGGGAATATAATCAATAATGTTGTAAAGATTTTGTACGGTGTCCGATGGACATTTGTCTTATTTGGGAGTCCACTTCATGGACAGTGTAGATGCCTGACCACTGCAGTGTACACCTGAAGCTGAAGCTGAATAATAATGAATGCCAACTATAATTTAATATATATATATATAGTCACGCGATGTGGAGTGCAGCATAGGGAATAGAGTCAGTGGAATTGTAACAGCTATATACGATGGCAGAGGGGCAGGAGATTGGGGGAGGGGGTTATTTGTGAGGGGTGTAAATATCTAACCATTACATTGTTTTGTACACCTGAAACTAAATATATATATATATATATATATATATATATATATATATATATATATATATATAGAGAGAGAGAGAGAGAGAGAGAGAGAGAGAGAGAGATGTATTTCAAAAAATGACTTCTTTCCTCCTTGTGGTTGAGGATACATGGAAAGTGGCCTGGCTTACATTGTCCCTAGGACAGTGACTAGGATAGCGCCTGGTATACAGTGAGGGCTTAATAAAAGTTTACTAAATGACAAAATGAATGGAAACAAAGAAAGCGGGGGGGGGGTTAGAGATAGAGAAAGGAAAGGAAAGAAAGAAAGAAAGAAAGATAGGTAGAAAGGCAGAAAGAAAGGTAGAAAGGCAGAAAGGCAGAAAGAGTAGGAAGGGGTGAAAGGAAGAAAGAGATAGAAGAGAAGGAAAGAAAGAAAGGGTGGAAAGAACAAAGTCTTAACTTTAAATGTATCCCAAACTAAGATTGTAAATTGGTGCAGCCACTATAGAAAAGAGTATGGAGGTTCTTCAAAATATTAAAAATAGAACTACTTTATGACCCAGCAATTCCATTTCTGGGTATTTATCTGAAAAAAATCCAAAACACTAATTCGAAAAGACACATGCACCCCTATGTTCACTGCAGCATTATTTACAATAGCCAAGATATGGAAGCAACCTAAGTGTCCTTTGATAGATGAATGAATAAAGAAAAAGTGGTACATATACACAATGGAATATTACTCAGCCATAAAAAAGAATGAAATCTTGCCATTTGCAACATGGGTGGACCTAGAGAGTAATATGCTAAGTGAAGTAAGTCAGACAGAGAAAAACAGATACTGATGATTTCACTTATATGTGGAATCTACAAGTAAAAAACAAAATAAATGAACAAAACAGCAAAAGACTTAAAAATACAGAGAACATTTTAATGGTTGCCAGATGGGAGGAGGCTTGGGAGGATGGGTGAAAAAGGGGAAGGGATTAAGAAGTATATATTGTCAGTTATAAAAACTCACAGGGATGTAAAGTACAGCATAGGGAATATAGTTAATAATATTGTAATAACTATGTATGGTGGCAGGTGGGTACTAGACTTACTGGGTTGAGACTTCCTAAGTTATAGAAATGTCTAATCACTATGTTGTACACCTGAAACTAATATAATATTGTATGTCAACTATAAATGAAAAATGCAATTAAAAAAATAAATATATCCAAACTGAAACTCATTATTTCTCATCACCTCCTCCCTTAATCCCCATTTCTATACCTCTATTAAGCACCAGAATCCCAGGACCCTTCCTAGTCTCCCCTCCTTCACACTACACATCTAACAGGCTGCTGGGTCTAGTAAGTCCGAGTTTCACTCTCTCTCAAGTCCATCCCCTCCTCTTCATTTCATTGTCACTGTCCCAACTCAGGCCAGCTTCACCTCAGGCTTAAACCGCTAAGGGGACTTCCATTTCACTAGCCCTTCCCCAGAGCACCACCAGGATAATCTTTCTAAAATGCAAATCTAATGTCAATCCATGAGCTTTCAAACCTCTTAATGGCTTCTTGTCATGTACAGGACAAAGGCCAAATGACTGAGTATGACATTCAAAGACAGCCAATCATGACTTTGCTCCTGCCAGTTTTCTCACCACATTTGCCCCGATCTCTTTCATATTCTATGCCCACCCTTACAAAAAAAAGTCATAGTTCCCGGAACCACCATTTAGTTTCATGCTAAAAGACTTTTACGCGTGCCATTCCTTATGCAACTCTGCCTCCATCCTCTCAAGCATCTCTAGACTCAAGCATCACCTCTGGACCCCCGCCATCCCCCAACCAGGTTGACCTCCACACTTACGTGTGATACACAGGTAATTCAGCTTTTTCATCACACCTAAGGTTTATTTGCCTGTCTCCCCCCAAAGACTACCAGGCCCTTTTACTCAGATATACCTTATTCTTCTAAGATCTCCAGTGTGTAGTTAGTACCTAGCACACAAATAAAAGAGTGTTTGTGGGATCTCTGCCCCGCATTTGCTGACCTTTGTGATGTTTCAGACTCTCTTTCCCATTACTGATGCACTGAGCTCTCAGCCTCATACCTGGGCCATGGCCTGCTGCTATGGCCTCAGGTATGCGGGTAAGTTGAATCTTTCTAAGTTGTTCTTCTTATGGAGCCATTCCTCTATGAGTAGAAGCATAGGAAAATGCAAACTTCCAGTAATACAAGAAACAAAAATACAACATAATGTGTATTTTAAATTTTTAACAAAAACTACTAGCTGAAAAGTTTGTTTGTTTTATAAAGTAAAAATATAGGGGAAAATCATTATAAAATAATATTACCATTTAGAGAAAGCCATAGTTAATATGTTAGTATGTTTATTTCCCTTTAGGTGAGATCAAACTATAATGCAAAATTTTTCAGTTTTCTCAGTTACTATTTTACAAGCAATTTGCCACATCATTAAAAATTCTTCAAAGGTAATAATGAATCCATATAATAATCATTTCAATCAGTTAAAGTTGAATACAGCTATATCTGGTGTTGTGGCAATTGATTTAAAACAAAATAACAGGGCCGGCTGAGTGGCTCTGTTGTTTAAGAGCTCGCTCAAGAGTTTGAGCTCTGAGCAACAGCGGTTCGATGCCTGGCCCGAGCTGAGCAGCCGCTGAGCTGCCAACAGGTGGCAGGATGGCTCAGCTAAAAAAATAAAATAAAACAAAATAACAAATCTACATTGGAAACCCTCATTCAAGATAAGCTGAGATCCTCATAAATTCTTACCATCTTTTGCTCAGCCTTGCTCTCTCTCATTAAAGTTGAGCTATGTCCTTGCAAACTTTTTTTGGGCAGGTTACTTATAGGAATGAAGGATTCACATAAAATAAACAGAGCCTGGGAAATGTCCACCAAGCATGAATTTAATTTAAAACCAAGCATGGCTTTAAAACATTAAAGCAATATTTTCTGTAGATAAATTAATATATAGATACATAGCCCATTATAGTAAGAATTGAGCTTGGGGCAG